TAAATGCCATTGACCTTGCTTGACCTTTTGAAGGTCGTGGTGACCAAAATCGCACAAAACTGTTCTGAGTTTTGCATTTGAATAAGCAATAAAGATTATACCAGTCAGTATGTTCTTAAAAACAAAATGCTGACCTGGATCATTTTAGGTCAGTGACCTATTCTGACCGTTAAGAAGTCCATGGAAGGTCCGTGCCGTTCCTGATATCAATAAATTTGATATGAGCACCAGAAACTACCCCATACAGCAAGTCCTAGCGTAATAAAACAGGTTGGTTTTGACCTTGAAATGACCTTCATACCTGACCATAGGTCAATGTAATTTGTTCATTCAATTGTTGTGCTGCCTAGGACAGTATCGCAGAGATGTGCGGCTTCGTCTAACACTCCGTTGTTGGCTCAGATTGAATTCAGATTCCCTAGAAATTCCCTCCGCTGAAACAGTGGCCTGACTTTGACCTGTCATAAGTCAGCGACCTCACGTGGAATATTTGAATTTTTGAGCCAGACAGCCCGCTATTCCATTGTCTACAGCTATGTCAAATTTGGCGCCGATACGTCGCGGCGTTCGGAAATCATTCCGGAAAACCTTCGGGAGGGGGGCAACTTGACCCTCACCCGAGCGCGTGTTAAAACTCCATCATAGGCGTGTGGATTTGCACAATTGGATTGGTGAGACCGAGCGGGAAAAACTAGCACCAAATACACCGAAAACCAGGGTTATTACCGGAACTGACCAATGTCCTCTCAGTGACGTTATGGAGTTGAAGTACCCCCAAACAGAATAGGACAACACGGCCCTTGTCCAATATGTTTGCTTGCTCTGATTCGGCGAAAGCTGGTACTGTTGGGCATCATTACAATTTTGTTTGGCGTCGATCGTCGAAACCAGGTTTCGGTAATCGACGCATAGCCGGTGTTATGTGGCTTTTGTTGTTGTTATGCGGACGTTGAGCATGTACGGATTCGGAAGCAAAAAGTGCAAGTTGATTTGCGCGACTAAACATGTCTTTCATGGAAATCGCGGCTGATTGCCGCAAGACGGGATGCAGGTGCATCACTCCCATTAGGCATGTTCGACACGGCTTGTGTTGGTGGTTATGGTCGGAGGATTATCGCTATCGGTTTGGTCGACTGGTGTCGATGGTCAGGTTTTTACAACTGCTCCATCGAATATTCGCGTTGAAGTGAAGGTCGACATGTTTCAAGGGTTCCTCCGAATGAAGACGGCTGATAACCTGAAACGCCTTGTCTTCATTTTCTGATAAGACGTGGTAGCAAAGCAACGCAACCTGCTGCGATCTGCATCAGTCATCTGCTGCAATCAGCATCATCAGGTCAGGTTTTTACAACTGTTCCATCGAATATTCACGTTGAAGTGAGGGTCGACACGTTTCAAGGGTTCCTCCGAATGAAGACGGCTGATAACCTGAAACGCCTCGTCTTCATTTTCTGATAAGACGTAGTAGCAAAACAACGCAACCTGCTGCGATCTGCGTCATTTAAACAACGCTGAATGGTGCCAAAACACTCCCACAATAGGACAAAAATAGACCATAGTCAGCCGTAGACATAATCGCGTAGTTAAAAACATGCAGCATGCAGGAAAAACAGAACAAACTCAGGTAACGACCATGGAGCTTTAAAAGTGTGACTGAGTCAGGTGCACTAAACTGAACATGATATCGCAATTTGCATTTTCTTTGGTCCTTCTAGCTGTGAAACAATAAGGAGAAACCTTCTTTAGATTTGCAAATTTGATATCATTTCGAGCTTCTATTTGTAATGTCCTACATGAAGTTGGGCTTCAGGAGGTTGGGGCCCAAACTCACCGTTGAGGGGGGGGGGGGGGCAGATTGAACATGAGGGGAGGGGGCAGTGACCCACCCAAAAGAATACAATTCAACACCCATGAGCTATAGATGCAGCTGCACTGGAGTGTTCTATGCATTCCAATTTGCTTGCACGCATTATAATTTCCAAATGAATGCCTGCCCTGGTATAATGCTCATCTGAGTCGCGGATTGGGAGGGCACCGGGTTACAGAGTAAAGCTCAAGGTCAGCCCAGGAAAGCCGTCGTTCGTTCGCCGAACGTCAAAATATTACAGCGGACTGAGCCCAGTGCAAATGCTTCGTTTCAAGCATGCAAGTAAGACATTGTCATCTTTATTCTCGAACTAGCGGCGTGGCCGGCGATGCCGGGGAACTATACTACGGGTAAACTGCTTGAGATAGCTCCACTTGGTTTTATGATCGAAAACTGATCCGACTTGCCTCGTGACAGCTCTCCCGCTGTCTCTCCAGAAGCTTCAATGCCATATTATCAGTGGCGAGGCTTTTTGTCGCCAGGGCGTTTTTCGTCTCCTGCTCGGTGAGCCATGTTAGGTCTTGGCACCGTTTCTCCAAGTCGAGAAGACCCTGGCCAAAGGGACCGTCGACTGACTGACCGACGGACCGTCGAAGGGAACTTAACGCTTTTGCCAGAGCGAAACTTACCTTGGCCGACTTAGCTCTCGATATCACAGTTGTCGTACATACCATACTGTATACGGTTTTCATTGGTTTATCGCCATGCCATTTCCGTGCCACGTGATCGTGATCAGGTTCGTTTGAAGATAGCAGACAAGGCGAGTCGTCTGTTGTCAGGGGTAGCACAGCAGGGGGGGGGCCTTTGTCTGCCGGCAGGGAAGTAAGAATATGTTTTGCCCCTCAAAACTTTTGTGAGGCTCCTGTCCCAAACAAAGAAAGTCAAGGCTACCCATATATTATATAACTGCAGATCATGGAGGTCCCAGATCTGAGCTAGAGAGAAATAGATCAATTCAAAAGACCCTTTTCTGCATTAAGAGGCCACTTCCCCTTTAAACGCTGTCGACTGGGTCCAAAAATCAAACTTATCAAATTGGCACCGCGTGTTGCACAATATTATGCAGCATTTAATGCGCGCAGAATGCGAATACCTGGCTGCCTGTTACAATACCTAGAATCCGAACGCTCCACTCTACCAAATAGCCAGTGCCCAAGCAGGGACTCAGCGCCTGCCACCATTTCGGCGGCAAGTCGTGTCGAGTACTGCATGACCGCGTACGCGATGGCGTATTCACCGCACTTTCCAACCCCGCGGGCAAGTGTTGCCTGCCCGGCTCTGTCCTACCGCGGCCACATCACGTCCGACCATGCCGTGCAGGAGGTGCCGACATGTGGGGGGACCACGGGCGCAGTGCTCTCGCCTGCTAATCGACGCGGCGTCCTCGGGGTACCGCTTGGGCGGCCGCCACTTCCTGCTGGTCATCGCCGGACGCTGATGGCCGTCGGCGCGGGAGCGCAGACGACGAGATACGTCACGTCGCCGGAGCCGCGGCGCGTCTGCCAGCGTCCGCCCGCGCTGCCGCCAGACGGCAGCCGGTCCGAGGCGCCGCGTCTTCGATAGCGACGCAGGCCGAGACTTGATAACGCAAGTGCGCCGCCCGCCACCGGGGCGCGGGGCCGGCCTGGTCAGGGCGGGCCAGACAGCGGCCGCCCTACGGAGGCTCTCGACAGCGCTCGTTTCCAGTGCACCATCATGTTTCCACGACGTGTGAACTGGGCGGCGTTGAAACCACGTAGTGTTCTAGCCATTGTCTACCGTCACAAAAGCCGTGAATACTTTCAAATATGATCCGTAGATAGTCACAGAAAACTCGTATATTGTGTTAAGAATAAGCTTTCGAATACTGCGCTAATTAATTAAGACGCCACACACGCACCACGAATGTGGCTTGATGACCCAGTGTGTTTAGCGCAGCGTCCAGCAATAGTGGTGTGTTGTGTGCCTCACTTAGAAACGCGGACCACAGGAAACACGACAGCACTTGGCGTCATTATTGGAAAATGCTGCCCAGGCCTTGACACGCGCTGGAATATGAGAGGGGCAAATTGACATCTCCTCCCGCAGGTTTTTCTGGCATGGTTTCCGAAGGGCGCGGCGTAGCTGCGCAAAATTTTCCGTAGTTGTAGACAACTGAATAGCGGATCGTTTGGCATTAAAAATTTAGATGTGCTTTGCAAGGTCGCTGACCCACGGCAGGTCAGTCAAGCCATGGATTTAGCGAAGACAATTTCTGGGGAACAGTCCAATCTGATGCGACAACGGAGTGTTAGACGAAGCCATACATGAGTTTTTTGGGCAGCAAAGTTAAATGAACGAATTCCATGGACCTAGGGTCAGGTACGAAGTTCAGACCAGCGTAAAAACCAACCTACTACATGGCTCTGGAGCTCACTGTATGTGGTGCTTTCTGGCGCTCATTTCGAATTAATTGGAAACAGGAGGCGCGTTATACATCCTCCATGAACTTCTCATAGGTGACCTAAATGACTCACGTCAACATTTTTTTTGTTAGGAACATACTGCCCAGAAGTAATCTTTGACGCTCATTCAACTGCAAAACTCCAAGCAGTCTTGTATTACTTTGGCCATCACGACCTGCGAAGGGTTAAAAAGGTCACTGACCTGAAATGAGCACGTGACCTTTTGCTTAGAACAGGCGTCTGGGTTCTGGGGGCACTTTGGATACCAATTTGGATCTTGGCCTGGTTTGACCTACCTGACCCCAAGGTCATGACATCGGAATGCCAAATTTTGACACAGGTGAGTTCGCCTACAGGCCAACACACCCTGTGAATATCGTGTCTCTAGCTCTTAGTATCTAAGATCTCAGGGGGCTTAAATTGACCGCTCGAATCGAGCGATGGGTATTCAACCGGCCACCCGGGCGCATGTTAACCCATGTGAGCGTCGGTCAGAGCTGGTCCTGCATGAGAACAGCGTGGGCAGGAGCGGCACAACTGAGGTGAACGGACCTTTGCCGCACACCCTCACACATGCAGTGTAACATTGTCGCAACATTTGCCACGCTTGCGTCTGGTACCAACCTGGACACAAGCCAGGCTTTCATGACACGAGACGCCACAGGTTCGCTCGCGACTACACGTTTACTTCCAAACAGCACACACGGAACGTTGATTCGATGGTTCATTTATTGGACTCTCCTTCGCACTGTCTCGGGTGGGCTGATGTTAAAACAGTGTCTCCTCCGGAGGAATTCTTCGTCCAATCGGCTTCAATCACGTATGCTTCAAGTGGGACGACCAAGGACGCTACCATTTGTACCGCCGCACGGTCAGAGCGTTTACAAGCAGTATCTCCGGTAACCGAAACCGCTGACACATGACCTATCGGGTATAAAAAATACTGCCGCAAACGGCGTCACAATGAAATGCGGTTTCATCGAAGTCGGCAACGCACTTGCCCCCGCAGTCTTTTCGCCGTAACAATCGAGAGAAAATAGGTCCTACCAAACCGCCGTCGGTGGACGACGTGTCCGACGAACCCTCCCAGGCGCCGCACCAACGCGAGGCGCCGCACGGAGGCCATTATGTACAACGCACATGAGAAATGGCATCATGTAAACTGTCCAGTATAGGTGCTAACAAATTCGTTCCGAGTTACATTTCACTTGGTTACACAAGGCGCACGGGCCGTCACCGAGTCTATACCGAGCGATCACGCAGTCCACGACAGAGCTAGCAGGCGGCCGCCCCTCATTTCTTCTTGTTTTTATTGTTTCCCTGAAAGCCCCCGCGAGGCGGCGTCACCGGGCGTCCAGAGTTCATGCCACCGTAGATCTTTTTCCGGTCGATGGGCTGCAAAACGCCAAAACGCATGCGTCATTCACCGAGCCCCGGAGATGGAAACACGTGCCACACGCATACACCACACGCACACACACACACACACACACAGACTCACACATACACAAAAGGACACCCGTTGACACGCAACAGCACAGAATGAGAGGCTGTCGACGGACACAGAAATAACCCTGAAAAAGAACCCATGACAACAGGGAATGAAAGTTGGCATGCTCTAAGACCGGTTTGGGTTTGTGGTGTGTATGCGGCCTTTACAACGTAGGGTTCTTACGCACTGACCTACCTCAATTGTTCGGAAGCATCCAATCTTCAAGGACACCATGACGGGAAGGCATGAGACGTGACACCGCATATAGCTCAAGACCAATGTCTGCATCAATGACTGCCCTTTCACAGAGCAAAACACAGCTACTTGCTAACTGTAACCAATGCTTCCTCGCTGCTATGAATGACTGAATTTCTCTACTTGGCACATTTTCTCGGCTGCCCTTGACACTACCGCCGCATTTGTCTTTGCTGTCGTATCGGAATATCACTTGCTCCTACCGATGTGTCCTTCCTCACTGCTACTTTTGGCCGTTTTTCTTCTGTCCTTGGCACCGGTCTCAGACTTGTCCTCGTTGGTAACGCCGACCACCTTGCTTTCGCTGTCGATGACAGGCTTAGCCTTGGCTCCACCAGTCATCTTCCGTCCGATGCAGTCGCCTGCTCTGCCGCTGCTGCTGCCCACCGACTCTTCCTCTATGACACCGCTGACTGCCTCGGTCTCGCCACTGTCCGCTGGCCCGACCTCAGCGCCAGCCGACGCCTGCTGCGTGTGCCCCTCCCCCATGCCTTCGTCGATCTTTTCGTCCAGTATCGGCAACACAACCGCCAGCACCAGCTCGTACCACATCTTTTCGATCATAGGCACCGGCAGCTGACCCCCAGCCAGAAAGAAGTCTTGTCGGAAGACCTGGTTGACGAACACAGTCCAGGTAAAGTTGGCACTGTCCACGCAATTCTTGGCGTTGGTCTCGTCAATCAGCATGTTGACCTGTTTGGCATATTTGACCACGTCACCGCGACTCACCCGGGGAGGCACACGGGCGATCGAAACGCGACTGTTTCGGGAATGGTTCTTGACGCGCGCGCTCAGACTCTGCAGCGTCCTTCGGATGACGTCGAAAGACCGGCTCATATCGCCCGTCTTGTTTTGGTATACGCCATCACCGCCGCCGCAGATGAGAAGGAACACGGGCTTTCGGCTCCTGGAAAGTTCGACGTTTGCCACATCCACCAACTCCCGAAGACTTCGTTTGGGTAAACAGTAGAATCTTATCCTATGGTCGAACTTGTCGTGCAGATGCAAGTTTCGCATGGTTTCGTCAGCTATGACGACAACTCTGGAGACGTTTGGAGCTTCTTCGCCCTCATAAAACATTTCACGGCATTTGGTACTTCTGGATTTTGGTGGCGTTTGCATGGGTATGTCGGTAAAGGTATCAGTATGCATCTGTCGCATCACCTTAATCTGTTTCCTTCTAGTCAACATTTTTCGCTTCTGTGACGCGTCTTGTTCCATGGGGTTGTCTGCAATGTCTTCGTGTGGCAGGTATGTATTGTCGCATTCTGCTTCATCTATGCTGTCATCACTAGGCACATCTTCCGAAACCTGAACCACATTTTCTTCGTCGGAAGCTGCAACTTCGTCAACAACCTTGAAATCGGGCAGCGGGTCGTCGGCCTCACTCTTGCTCCAGTGGTATTTGTCTGTCCTGATCGTGCCGTCCCACCGCTGGCGGCGCTGCCGGTCATCTCGGTGCGCGGACCTGTCGCGTGTCGGCAGCGGCTGGTCGTACCGGTGGCGGTCCAGGTGCGTCCTCTCCGGGCTGTCGCAGTCGGACCGCACCCTCTCCAAGCCGTCACGGTCGGACCGCACCCTCTCCAAGCCGTCACGGTCGGGACGCACCCTCTCCACGCCGTCGCGGTCGGACCACATCCTCTCCAGGCCGTCGCGGTCGGGCCGCACCCTCTCCAATCCGTCGCGGTCGGGCCGCGTCCTCCCGAGGCCGTCCCTGCCGCCACACCGTCCAACCTCGTCCCGGTGGCGTTGCCGGTGCGTCGGGCTGTGACGGGAATGCGGGCTGGTGGTGTTCTCCAGCGACCGGGGGCGCGCGCGCGGGCCCGCGCCGCCTGTAAGATCCAGCAGGCGATTTGCGAGCCCTTTATGCACGTCGTCGTGCGGCCTTCGAGGCCTCGGCGACTTGTCACGAGGCCGCAACGATCGACTTTCAAGGGACCTCTCTCTGTCTCTGGATCTTCTTTGAGAGGAGTGGGGTCGGCCCTCTCTTTCTCTTGGTTTCCTGTGAGGCGAGTGACTGGAGCTAAACTTGTCTCTGGATCTGACACGAGCTGAGTGGACGTTCTCTCTGTCCCTTGATCTTCCACGCGAAGCGCTATGACAATCCCCTCTCTCCCTCGTACTTCTATGAGGTGACAGCAATCTCCTCGATTTGATTTCGCCCGAAAACCCATGCGGGCTCCTGCTGCGCTTCACTCCTCGTTCCTCTCCAAATCTGCGCTGTTGGGAAGCTCTAGAGCTCCTCGCGCCACTCTCGTCACCTCTCGCGGTTGCGCTGGCGCTTTGGTGATGCGCCATTTCCACATGTCTCTCTTCACTCGTTTTTCGGATAGACACATCTCGTTCAGGGCCCGCGGGATCGACCAAATCATCTAGGTCAAGAGGGTGAACAATGTGGGTAGGCGACGCCCCCATGTCCACCCCGTCCCCGCCTGGAGACGCCCCTGTGAGAGACTGCAGCTCGTGCTCCACGCGAGGAGGCGACGGCCGCTCCTCTTCATCATCCCAATCATTGGTGGCGGACCTGCTGACTACTAAGCCAAACCGCTGATCCATCACCACCTGTCGGCTGCGGGCCGCCGACGAACTGTCCACCACCGAAACCGTCTTCACCTCACTGCCCGGCGCGTCCAGCAGCTCGTGGAACTGTTCACGCACGGATATGTTCGAGACAACTCTTCGCTCCTCATCTTCAGAGTCTTCCCAGCTGTCGGTAACGGCCGCAGCGCCTGGTCTCACTTCTTTGTACGGCAAGGCTTGTTTACTGCGCTCTTTAAAAATGTCCAGCATTTGCTCCACGGAATCTTGTCGTGTGACTTCTCGAGCAGCCTCCTCAGGAGACCGGGTGGAGTGACCACGGAAATACGGCCGGCTCTCGGGGCTCTCGGCCGCCCGATCACGGGGGTGCGGCTCTAGCAGCTCCAGCATCGCCTCGTCCTGCCCTCGCCGCAGGCCGTCGGTGGTGGCACGAGCAGGTTCGCCGTCCTCAAAGTCCCCCGAGAGTACCCGAGCCTTGGCCGGGGGATCGGCGTTCCAGAGGCCGCCGCGGCCGCCCTCCCGTGGGGCCTCGCCGTCGCCCTGGAGCGTGCTCTCGCCCAAGATGGCGGACAGTTCACGACTGAACTTGTCCACTTCCTCCAGCACGTCGATCTGGTGCTTCCCCGTCCGAGCAGCGCCGCTCAAGTTCGACGAGCTGTCCGCCTTGATCTCCGGTGGACTCTGAAGGTCTTCGCCACGCGTGGTGGGCGCTTCAGGCTGGCCAGTCTGCAGCAGGGCGTCTTTTCTCGGAGGGAACTCGTAAATTTCTCCATTCGGCTGCAGAAAGTAAAACCCCATTTAGTTTTTGTTCCGGATAGGATGTTTTTCGACTGTACAGAGGATCTGGAGTATCAACGGTGGCCATGGGTGTCACGTTAGGAAAAACGATAGCTGAGGGTTTAAATGGCTGCAGATATATTTCCCTTGCCATATTTGTACCAGCCAATCTGATTTTCTTGGTGCAAGCTTTGCTGCGTGTACGCGTAGTTTTACGAATGCCGCACGTAATATGCCCCACGGCCCGTGGCAGTCGCCCTGGTGACGCCGAGGAGCGGTCTGAACCAAGACGTCCCACACGCGACTCCTGATCGTTCACGAGAGAGTCGCGGTAATATTCTCGACCAATGGCTGGCGTGCTCGATCACTTCCAGACAAAAAATAATGGGAAGGGATTGGGCTGTCACTTTTTATCCCAGCAGGGCACCATAATTTTAATGTCACTATAAACCCTGAACGGTCCAAGTATTGACACTTTTGCACCTTGTCACTGGCCACCTCATCAGCCAATTCGATCTGTTGGTCAAACTGACCATAATATAGCATACCAATTAATAAGTCATTATATAGCATAACCATGGAGTAAAACATGCCAGAATAGAAGCACCCCATGACGGTGCTCGTCTCCCATTGAGGCCCCGTCAAGGCCACGAATGTGCAACTGTTGCCAAGCAGACAACTTTTCTTTCAGCATGAAAGACAGCGCGTCCAAGCTTCCTGTATACCAACACACGATTTCCTGCTATGTCCAATCCTTTAAGTGGTGCAAATATATTTTTTTGTAATGGATTTAAAGTTACACGCAATACGTCATTTCATGACAGATACATCACTTCCTAGCAGCATTTCATGCTGTAAAAGGAAGTGGTGCACGTGGTCGCGAATCTTTTCATGGAGCGCCGGCGACTACAGCGGCCATAGTATCACCTGCAGGCCATGGCGAAGCCAGCAGTTGGGCCTCCACCACTTCCACGTGAAAGTAGGTTGAAATGACTACGCATTCAACTTCATGAAGCGAATACGCAGCGTAATATAATTATGCCTGTGCTGAAACAACTATCCTCTGTTTTTGCAAACAACGAATGCAGCTGTGCCCTTATTAACCGGTGGGCTTGGAAAACATTCGCTGCACGTTACGTACCGGGCGCGAAACAACAAAAACGAAGCGCAAAGCAACAAAAAAAGTTCGTCACACCGCGTAGCGGTCAGGTTGCCGCCGTTACACTTCCTAACCGAAACACCGCGATGTTAACTGCTGCGGACTTTTTTTCCGGGAATATATTTATGTAGCTAGGATTGCTAACTTAGCCTCGTTGCTGCTCGTGCAACTGGATCGCTTCTCAGACTTCCACGTGGCGGCCGTTGCCATCTGTGTAATATTTGAGATGTGGACATGACGGGGCCTGCCTCAGATGGTCTCGTACCCAACGAGTCATATTGTCGCGCATACGGCACTATGGCCGAATGCCACACATTCCGGTTTGCGGCAGAGTCAACATTTGCCATGCAGGAGCATAACGTTTGTAATGTGAGTGTACGGTAAATGAATTATCTGATCTACGAAAGCTTTTTTATAAAGTTAATGTATTTTTTCGATGGATTGTATGCGAGGTATGTATGCATTTCATGTATGCAATGTATGTTTTATACTGTATGCATGTATCTCTATGCAACGTATTGTGTTGTAGTTTATCTTTCAATATTTTTTTTGTTTTCTTAATGTATGTTTTATTGCATCCAGTTTCGTGAGAAAAAACAGGCACTGGTGGCACGGAAAGAAATAAACCGACAAGACTAGTTCAAAGTTCTTATGCTGAATTAACGACCTTTCTACATAGTACGAGGTACTAATTGCACGACGTCGTAATGCTGAACAACAATCGTATTGACCGGCAACGTAATAATCATTTAGCACCACAACGTCGTATCACGACGTCGCAATGCCGGAACAACAATCGTATTGACCGGCAACGTAATAATCATTTAGCACCACAACGTCGTAAAACTAGTACCTCTTGGTATCTGAGGGTCGTGGACTCAACACAAGAACTTTGAACTCATGCCAAAAAACCACGAGGTTACGGTCTTTCTGTATCAAGGATAAGGACAAGTTGTTTTAACATCTTTACGCAAGTTGGACAAGCTTAAAAGATCAGAATTAAGATACTGATAGATATCTTCCATGACACTGAGAGGACTACACAAACTTCGGTTCGCGTTTTTCTTCGCCCAGTTGTGCGCCGTATCCACATTTTATCCGTTGCACTGTTTCAGATGTCACGACGGTAGTTGAGAAATGGGAGAACAGAAGAGATCGTGACCACTCAAAAATGTCATTCAGCAGCGGAAAATCAGATTGGCTATACACCAGTGGACGGAGTGGTTACAAGCTCAGCCACCGGTGCATGTTGGCACATTAGACACACGAACAGAATGGATAGCTACCTGGCTGGTCGGCCTAAGAACAACAGAGCATGCCAAAGCATCCAGAGCACGGAGATCTAGTCCATCACACTCTACACATCCCTGTCGCGGGAAGACTGGAGCTGCAGTCTCGAGTCTGGCACGTCATCGTCCTCCGCGAAATGCATTGGAAAAGTAGTAGTTCAAAGCAAGAACAGAAAAACGACTGGAAGGTAGCAAAGGGTCAGGGTAGCGACATCACGGAGAGGAGCCACTTTCTGTGTGGAGCTGGCCGTAAGCTGGTCACATGTATAAGCAGCCGCCTTGTAATGTCATTTGGAAAGTGAGTCGATCGTAGTCCTCCTAGATACCAGGCGATCCAGCGCAGCCAAAAAAGTTATCGTCATCATAGCAAACCACTACTTGATTATACCAATTCCATTGGAGGCAAGAAACTAGGCCTAGAATGAATACCTTTTACATCGATCATGAATGAAATTGTTTGAATGAATAAATGATTTCGAAAGTAAGGTAACAAGCCCACCAAAACATCCAGGAACACCATTAAGCGCGAGCAACAAAATTGCGAACAGTGAATTCAGTTACCTTTCATGCCCCTCGTCCTCCCCCCTTCTCCCCCCCCCCCCCCACCCCGATCCAACTGTATCTCCAGTATGCCCAAGGTGGGCTAAACGCGTGACACAAACAGACGCGCAGTTGATCACTTACGTGCAGAACGAGCATAGCATACCATCGTCGCGAGCCCTTTTAAAAATGCCGGCGACTACGGAGATGTCTACTTTTTGGGTCCATATCGAAACCCAGATTCGAACCCGCACCGCAAGCAGGAAGCTCAATATGTTAATCACTAGAACCTCCCGCCCCCATTCCTCGGCCGGTGAGGAAGGTGGAGCGGTTCGACGCTTCCAAATTAAAACCTGTGTTAATGGCGACAGCAGCGAAGGAAATATGAAATGACACAAAACTGATGCAAGCACATGCACACACACCGATAACCACACTTGGTATCTTTTGCCCGATGCTGGATCAGCTTGGACCGCCTTTCCCCTCAGTGATCCTGTTTCAGTGCTGAGATCCCGGCTTATTTAAGACAGGACCACGAGACGCAGAGAGAATACGAGCTCTAACGGACCGGCCGACAACTTGACGGCAGCGGTCGGCGGCCCTCTGCCGCCCGCTCTTGCTCAGAATGTCGCTTCTGGCCAGCGCTCCCTGCGGCCCGCAGCCAGCCTGCCCGGGCCGGCCGGCCGGCCCGCACTCGCACCCGCCCGCGGGGCTGACCGCCAGCGCCGCCCGGCCCCGGCCGCCAACTGTCGCAACTGAGGCCGCCAGCCAGCCACATCAGTTGCCGAATCACAACTCGAAGGCATACCACAACTTGCGCAGCTCAACAGCGAGCGCTCAGTTCACCTTCCGCCTCTCCGTCATCCCGCAAATATCCTCCCCCATCCCTAATTACCCGCATGCGCAAGCATAACAAAACCCAGCTAAGCACATGTGCAGCCGCCAACGGCCCTTAGCTCCTTAGATTGCCCGACGCCTCCTAGAGCTTGTAGATGTATAGCGGCAGCCTAAGAGCGCGGCGGGTGAGCTCGATGTCAATAGTCCGCAGTCGCATGCTCCACTCGCCACATGCAAACATCCTCGAAGTAGACAGGACAAATCTACTAGAGGAAGGCAGGAGTGAGCGTTCAAGCCAGATGGTTGACAGCCAGCTAACAAGCAGCGAGAGGCTCAAAACGTGCGTGTTCCAGCCCCTACTGTTACTTGCGACACATAATGTCAGTGCTCTTTCATTCAGCAGAATCCAAGCAGCGCACTTGAACTCGGGACTAAATGCACACTTCGTGACCACACAGACACTCTGTGCGAGTTTTGGCTGTGCTTTCGTGGACACGAGCGGCGCGCAAAGAACCACACGCGCGCACACCCGCCACACACATACACACAGGACGTGTGAGCACGCTTAGCGTCGGTGTCATCGCCGGTGCGGCCAAACCAGGCGCTGGCGGCGGTGGGCGGCGTCGCGCGCGTCTCCACCCACCTTGAGGATCTGGAAGGAGCACATGAGCGTCTCGTCCACAGACATCAGAGCGCCGGCGTTGTCGAACTCGCCGCAGTAGTTAGGCGCCGAGAACAGCGTCACCAGCTGCCGCTTGGCGAAGAACTCGTAGCCGTCCTCCACCACCTGCGCACAGGGCGGGGGCCACAGTCGAGTGCACGCGGTCCACTTCTCACTGAAGCAGGACGACCAGTCTTGTCGGCGCCGTCCTCGGGCGGGCAGAGCGACCCTCTGAGACCAGAAGACACCGCGCCCAACCCGACCTGCCCACTTTCGGCTTTGCGTCACGAGGAACGGCTGACGTCAAGTGTACGCTCGCAGCCGCTGTCAAGCGTCATGCGCCATGTCCGGCGGCAGTCTCTATAGAGACTACATGTTAACATACAACAGCTGACGTACGTTACTACTGTCGCAGCCACGCC